GAAGGAAGGAAGGGTTGGAACTAGAAGGAAGGAAGGAAGGAAGGAAGGAAGGAAGGAAGGAAGGAAGGAAGGAAGGAAGGAAGGAAGGAAGGAAGGAAAGAAGGGTAGGAACTAGAAGGAAAGAAGGAAGGAAGGAAGGAAGGAAGGAAGGAAGGAAGGAAGGGTTGGAACTAGAAGGAAGGAAGGAAAAAATTAATTAAGAATGAAGTTGCAGATTTGTGATAAATATACTGTACAGTTTTGACTGGGAAAAGAACATTTTGTCTGGGCGGCTGAAGTAAAAAGTTAACAAAATTCAGTTCCAGATATTTTGTGTTTTCTGAGGTCAGATTTTGATTTGAACTGACTCCAAAAGTGAATTGTTTGTGAATGTACACTCAGAGTAAAAACATGGTGTGCCTTTCACGTCGCAGTCGCAGGTAATATCAAATAATGAAGCACTGACCACACAGAGGTTATTGGCTGTGTGTAGTTGTTGTGTAATGGAAGTATCCATTGTGTATTTAGGGTCCGGCACAATGTTGGGCCAGCTGTGATCAGAATTTAATTTTAGGAGGCAAGTATTGCTTGAACCTGAGTTATTTGCGTGCGTTGGCTTTGTGTGTCTATTTGCCTTTGTGGAAGTGCAGCCCCTCGTTATGGGGGCTTTTTTTGTGTGTCTGACAGCTGAACACAAGGCGTTGTTCTAAACAAATGGGAGCTGTGTGAGGAGAGGCGGCAGCCTGGGCCTAAACTGCAGAGATGGGCACTCTTTGACAGCTGCTTTCATCTCCTTTTTATTCCTGCTTCACACTCAAGGATTTTTTGGGGCTTCCTAAAGTATTTCTTTTGCCGCCTCCTTCCTCTCCCTCCCTCCTATCCTTCCTCTCCCTCCCTCCTATCCTTCCTCTGCCACTAAGCTGTGATTGGCTGTTTTGACAGAGCTGTCGCCAGGCTGTCAGCCTTTTCTGAAGCTTACTTTAATTACTCCTTTTCACTAACGCGACRTGTTCATGCACAGATGCATGCGAACCTGCGCACACATCAGAAAGTCAATCACAAATGCACACGCCGACACACAAATCAGTGCGACGAGCTGCACGCTGGGCTGTGCTGCCGATAATGGAAAAAGAACGGTGACTGAACTCTCCATCAGTTCTCCTACCTCACACTGCAGACCCCCAGATGTTTGTCAATGTTGACTGTTTCCTGAGCTTTGAAAATGTCATGTAGAATAGTGAAAGCCCAGACACTGCTGCGTTTGATGAGCAGAGATCGATGCTACACCCTGCTGTTCTGAGCTCTGAATAGCCAATTAAAGCTATTGAAATGGAGGAGAGGAAGAAGGAGTGATGGTTTGATTAGAGGGGAATGATGAAAGAGAAAGGGGTAAAAATGCACTGGTGACTGCCATAATTGAAAAAAAAATTCTGCATTGTAAACATAACAGTGATGACCTGTCTTACTTTTTCTTTTCCATCCTTCCAYTAAAAACAAATGTACAGATTTATTAGAACTAACAAAGAAAACAAGAAGAAAGCCTTGATGCATGAACACCAAACCCTTTCATAGAGTTTCATGTTCTTCTCACATTTCCCTCCATTATCGTTCCTTTCTGTCTGCTACGTCTTTCCTAACACCCTCGGAAACACATTGTACTTAGTCATGTAGGAAAATGTTTTTGCACGTGCATCGTAGCTCAGCAGCACCGCAGCGTTCCACTTGCATTTCCCCTACAGCCATAGGTAGCAACGATGCTCTGCTTTTTACCAGTCTGTCCAAAAAGCAGGAAGAAAAAACAAAGTTCTCAGCAGGAACTTGATGCAATTTCTAGGGGTGTAAGAAAATATCGATACACTGAAATATCGCGATATTTCGTTTCCCGATACTGTATCGATATTCTAAAG